GCTGGAGGTTGTATTCACATAGAAGATGTAAAATTTGTGTGCACTTTATGTAGAGAATGTTTAAAAAAGAAACTGCAGAGAAGGCTGTATTGGTTCTGGAGCTGGAAGCTTACACTACTATGTCTGCAAAATTAGTGTGTGACTTAATAAGTACTGTTTACATTCAGGGCTAGGCATTAGCAGGACTGCATTATGTTCAAGACTTATGCTGTGGCTTTGTACCATGCTGAACCAAAATGTGTGGATGTAGAAGTCTGACCACAATTAGCTTGATGAGTCTGTATTTGGTCTTTCTATAGTATAGATGAATACTAAATTGCCTAAATGTCCTTTTGTGTTTCATTTGTAATTACAATATCTCCATCCAGCTCTTAAAAATCTAGATGCATCTTAAATTCTGCTGTCAGTTTTACTTCAGTGCCAGTTTAGGTCATATTCATAATGAACCAAATGCAAATAAGCAGCTTAATTCTTACTTCCCAGATATGTCCTGGAATGAAGAAGATCATGCTTTATACTCTCTCCCACAACATCTGATGCAGTGTGTTCTCTTAGGAGAAAGAAGACAGCCAGCAAAACGAGGGAAAGCAAACTGAACAGTGATTTGAGCCAGAACTCCTACCTCCCTGAGGAACCCTCTAGCTAACAGTAAAGCCTTCCCTCCGACGCACTGTGATGTTCACAAGTGAGATATTCAAAAGTTGAGAAATGTTAAAACTGCTTGATTTTTGCTCAGTTTCTTATGTAAATTCAATGTATTGCTTTTTCTGTCTGGACAGCTGGGAGGAAGGCATCAGAGCCGAGGAAGATCTGGCTCTCTGAGCAAGTAGTGTGGTCCAGAGTAGCAGTGAAACAGAACCAGACTTCCATGCAATTTGTGTTACAGGGAGTTGCTTTGGATGATCTCAAGTCTGGTTCTGTGCATTGAATGTCATTTGGTATTTGGAGTCCATTAAGTGCAGTCCTGGAACACTTCTGGATTAATCCTGAAGATTCATCCCAAAGATTCATCCTGAAGTTCAGGTGCTCTGAGACAGCTATTTAATGTACTTCTGTCCTGAATTAAAAAACAGTGGAGATACTTTCTTTAAATTCTGGAATGCAGAACAGTGCTGTGAAGGAGAAAACCAGAAGAAAAAGAACTGCTAGAGCAAATACATCTTTGAGGACCCTAAGAGGATAAAGGGGCCAACGAGCAGCAGGCAGCAGAAGCAGAGTTCAAATTCCAAGGGCACAGAAAGAATGACACCTTTATAGAAACACGGAACAGTCTGCATTCTTGATGCAAGAAACCATTGGGAATTGCTGAAATGGAAAGAAGGACTGATGGAAAAGATAACTGCTATGTTGAGATCTAGTGGACAGATGGTAGACTTGTATTCATGCTGTTTATTTAAGTGTCTTTCTGCCACCAGATATACATTTTAACTACTGAGAGAGCTATCTTTGTCTAGTTTGTTACTTCTGTGTTAGAAGAGAAATTAATTTTGTAAATGGGAAGTCTGGTATGCCTTTTTGTGTTTTCAACAAATGCTAACGAGCCTATGGGTTAGGGTTTCTGGATCTCAGTCATTTTAAAGAAGTAGTTTCAAGACATGCATTCAGTCTGCTGTCATTTTCTTTTGCTTATGCTTCTTCTTATCTCTCTGATTTCAGTGAAAGAACTAGCAAGAACAAGACGGATTTTGTGGATTATTTTTCTATGTCATTTTTCACATATGATTTCACCCATAGGTTTTCCACCAGAAAAAAAAAGGGATGTTCAGTCTGGACCTCAGTTTTTATCCCATCTCCACTGGAATGAAATTTGCTGACAACAAATAACATCCTGTTTGAATGATGGAGACTAAAATTGATGTCAGATTTATTTTTAGGTTTTAAACAAACATTTTAATCAGTTTTGCTTCTTTTTAATTTTAACAGTGATTGGGACTGTTCGTGTTAGGTTAGAGGTTGGACTCGATGATCTTGAGGTCTCTTCCAACCTAGAAATTCTGTGATTCTGTGATTCTGTATTCAGTTTATCATTCCAGACTGAAAACTCCCTCCTCAGGTTTTGAAAATACTGGAGAAACACTTTTTGTCTTTTTCCTTATGGGAGATATATTCCATCTGTTCCCTCCCCCCACCTTTTTGTGGAAAGCACAGTCATATGGGAACTGATTGCTGTTCACTGGAAGGATATGTTCACTCAGAATTAATAGCTTTATTTAATTTACAACATTACATAACATGATAAATTATGAGTTAAAAATATCATTATTTGTTGTGAAAATGCTTGTCACCCATTTTGATAGCAAATTTATCCTGAAGTTTTTTGAAAAAAAAATCTTTAACGAGCACACAGCAACATTATTAGTAATGGAAGCTCAAAAAGGTCCCAAACCTGGGGCAATCCTACACTGTGCACTGCTCTGCTAGATTTACTAGATTTTCATATATAATATATTGTATTCAAAGTTAAACGGAATAAATTGACACACAAATAATAGCTCTTCTGTAGTTAGCAGGATGTAAATATGACACATGCATCTTGCATTGGTTCTAGCAAGGAATGATATAGGGATCTATTTACCTTCTCTATCAAGAAGCTCATTTATAAATGACTAGTTTCCATATCTGCACCAGAATGCATTTTTAAATGTTTGAAATGAAATCTTATTATTTGCTATTGTGCATGTTTGCTTCTGTAGTGGGTTTACGTGGCAAGGCTTTGGTAGCAGGGGGCCATAGGGGTGGTTTCTGTGAGAAAGATCTAGAAGCTGCCCCATGTTTGGGAAAGGCCCCACTGTTTTCCAGATCTGAGCCAATAAGCGATGTTGTTTTGCGCCTCTGTGAGAGCATATTTAAGACAGGGAAAAAAACGCTGCGGCACACAGCAGCCGGGAGAGTCAAGGGAGTGAGAAACAGCCTTGCAGGTGCCAAGGTCAGTGTAGAAGGAGGGGGAGAGGTGCTCCAGGCGCCGGAGCAGAAGTCCCCTGCGGCCTGTGGTGAGGACCATGGTGAAGCAGGATGTCCCCCTGCAGCCCATGGAGTACCACGGTGGAGCAGGGTTTCACGCTGCAGCCCGTGGAGGAGACCACGGTGGAGCAGGTGGCCCTGCACCGACGGAGGCTGCCGCCTGTGGAAGACCCCTGCCGGAGCAGATTCCGGGCCGGACCTGTAGCCCGTGGAGAGGAGACCACGCAGGAGCAGGTGATCTGGCAGGAGCTGCTGCCCGTAGGGGAGCCAGGTTGGAGCAGTTTTCTCCTGAGGGATGGACCCCGTGGTATGGACCCATATCTGGAGCAGTTCTGGAAGAGCTGCTGCCTGTGGGAAGCCCACGCCGGATCAGTTCGTCAAGGACTGCATCCCGTGGGTGGGACCCCACAGCACAGGGGACGAGAGTGACCGAGAAGGAGCGGCAGAGAAGAAGTGCTGTAGACTGACCATAACCCTCATTCCCCCGTTCCGCTGCGCCGCTCGGGGGGAGGAGGTGGAAGAGGGTGGATGGGGGGAAGGTGCTTTTGGTTTCTTTCCTTTGTTTCTCACTTCTCTAGCTTGTTAGTAATGAGCAATAAATCTTACTATCTGTCTTCTTATGCTGAGTCTGGTTTGACCGTTACACTAATTATTGCGTGATTTTCTCGTCCTTATCTCAATCCTTGAGCCCCTTTCACATATTTTCTCCCCATTCCTCTTTGAGGAGGGGGAGTGAGAGAGCGGCTGTGGTGGAGCTCGGCTGCCCACTCGAGCGGAACCACGACAGCTTCCAAATGCAGAGAGACATGGAAAAATATCCTGCATAAACCTAAAATAATTTACTGTTTCTTTGTAGGCATTGTTGGAGCTGCAAATACAAATATTTCAGCCATAGTGGTCAAAATCTGGATTTCACTGTTATCGTTCAATACTCAAAGTAGTTTAAAGTTGAGCAGTTGAGCAGTAGGCAGTTTTCTGAAGGGAAGTGTGAAGCACCTGCCTTCAGATGTTAGTGACCATCTGTAATTGCCAGGCTGGTCGTGCTCCTATCTTGGCCCTGAAGACACCAACATGCCTTAATGGCCCTGACCAACCTCTCACCTGGAGCTTCCACCTACACCCTCTGTCTATGGACCCAGGTGCTTCATTTCAGCTTGGGTTGGTTGGGACCTTCAGTCCAACCATATAGCAGCCAAATGGAAGCTTCTATGTCATGGGAATGGACTGTTCTAGTGGGAACATAGACTGTGGACGAAATGTCTCTTCTAGGGCTTTTTGACTTCAAAATGAACAAGCTTCAGAAGTTGATTTCCAGCAAGCCTTGTGAAAGTAAAGTGGATGTGACAGAAATCACAGTTGCGGAAATTATATAATAGAAATGTAAGGATGAAAGAAACCTCAAGGATCTATTTAATAAAATTTCCTGCATTGGAGGAATATCAACTAGTTGTATTTAAGCAATTGCTTAAATAATTTTATAAGAACTTAGTGGCTTTGAGAAATTTCTCCAACCTGTCTTCTGAGAACCTACAGTGAAGGGTATTCCATGAAACCCATTTGGCTAGGGACTTTTCTTCTGTATAAATCTAGAAAGATTTTCCCAATATCTTAAGTAACTCAAGTAATTCTTCCAACAAATTAAACTCTCCTCTCCTCTCCTCTCCTCTCCTCTCCTCTCCTCTCCTCTCCTCTCCTCTCCTCTCCTCTCCTCTCCTCTCCTCTCCTCTCCTCTCCTCTCCTCTCCTCTCCTCTCCTCTCCTCTCCTCTCCTCTCCTCTCCTCTCCTCTCCTCTCCTCTCCTCTCCTCTCCTCTCCTCTCCTCTCCTCTCCTCTCCTCTCCTCTCCTCTCCTCTCCTCTCCTCTCCTCTCCTCTCCTCTCCTCTCCTCTCCTCTCCTCTCCTCTCCTCTCCTCTCCTCTCCTCTCCTCTCCTCTCCTCTCCTTCTTATGGTAAGCAATTTGTCACTAAATACATATAAATATTTATAACACTTTTACATAGGAGAAGACAGCTATCATTTCTCCATATAAATTTGTCTTTACAAGGGTAAAGATACTAATGTTCGTCACTCATTCATCACAGATTACATATCCTAGGAGTTTACTGCTCTTTTTGCTCTTCCCTGGATACTCTATGATTTGTTCACACCTCTTGCAGTGTCCCTAACTAAGCACTGCACCCTAGCTGAGCCTTAATCAGCAGCTGGGCAGAACAGAATAATTCTCTTCTGTGTGTGACACTGTTGAGTCCTGTTGCATCCTCAGAAGAGATTTACCTTCTTGTAAAAATGACATGTTGTTGAATTATTAGTTTGTCATCTAATATAATTCCCAGGTCCTGAGAGAGGGGAAGGTTTTCTCTGGTTCACTATCTGAAACAGATTTAGTGGAAACAAAATGAGAATACATTTTTTTTCCCATTTATTTTAATATTTCCATGTCTGATTTCACTAGAAATGATGAAGTGAAGAGTTGGAGAAAATAATACAAAGCTAATTAAACTCCTTCATATTCCAAAACTGTCTTGATTTGTTTGGCTAAAGTTTCAGTCAAAGATTTGTGCTGTTTCTTGTCTAATCTGAACTGATTCACTTATTCCAGTGAATCTAAGAATAGATTTTCTGTCTATGTGTGGTTCTTGACTGCCTGTAATCTGAGGAAATGAAAAAGGAATGAAATTACTTTTACAGTTACTGTGGGACAGTACTTGGCTGAAATTCTTTCTTCAGTACTCAGTTTTTAAACAAAGGATCCTGAGAACAGCTTCCAGCTTATTCAGCATCATAGGGCTGAGCCCCTAGCTGTGCTGTTTGATTCAGATATCTCACACTATATCTGATTTTCTCTTTTTGCTGATTACAGCTGTTATATATATATATATATTTGTTTAACCTAGGCTAGCTTTTTAGTTATGAAGAAAACAAATGAAAGGAGAGGGCAAAGATCCAGCGCTACACAGACATCACAAGTTCCGGTAATATGAACCAGATAAATATGGCTCAGAAAAACATAGTGAAACTTCATTGGTGAGTTTGCTTTTCATATGCTTTGCAGGACTTTAATAGCAGCCAGTTTTGATTGTTGTTCATTTCAGACAGGAAAGGTGAAATGTGATTAGAGCTATAGCTAATTTGGGTGGCATGGCTACAAGCCAGTGTCTGCTTATTTTATTTACAGCTAGAGGAGTTATTTGTGGAGAGTGAGCTGTACATTAGAAAGGGAACCAGCTGCAAAGAAAGAAAAAACAATAGCAAAGGTAAAAGCTTATTCAGAGATTTCTGTCAGGGGAAAAAAATATAATCAAGGAAAGGGCAAGCTGGAGGAAATTCTGAGGGTAACTTGCCAGTGCCCAAAGCTGAACTTCTAAAGTAAAATACGTTGACTGTAAACACAACTTGTTTGTTGCTTATTCTGGTGCAAATCATGTGAATTGTACCTATGTCTGTGAGAGGGCAATGTGTTTCCATTCACTGACATTTAAAGGACAAGCTGGTTTAGGGCTGAGTGGAATGGAATGGGAAAGGGTAAACAACAGAGAAGTTAAGAACTGGGAGGTTTTCTTGGGTGGTATCTACATAAACATAGAAGATCTTTGGCAATCATCAGAATCTGAGGCTGCAAAAGGCTCAAAAGGGTTTAAAATCTCTCTCTAAGAGACATGTTAATGTATACTAGCACATACAGTTTCAGAGTCACAGATAGACCCATGGAAGACATTAGTACAATTTTCATAGTTACATAAATACATAAGTTTTGGTAGTTTGCACTAAATCTGTGTATTCCATTCAAATTGAAAATTTTGGTAGTTCAGTGAAACTTTGAAAGTATTTATTAGATAAGTCTTGCTGTTATTTTAACTGGATTATCAGAAGTAGCACATATTTTGCTATTAATTTATTTTGTTTAATGATTGTTTAAACAAAAGCTTCATAAATTGATCCTGGCTGCTTAAAAACAGAAGCTTTTATTAGTAGTATGTAGCAGAAATAATAGTTTTTTTGAAAACTCAAGCGAATCAAAGCAAGCAAGTTAGAGCAAATATATATGTCAGCTGTTTTTACCTCTTTAAAATTTTCCATTTCATAAACCCACAGTTCTGGTCCTGTCCATATGAAACAGGAAGACATAGTTTCTTGTCAAGAAAGAGTGAATACAGTAAATACACATGACAAATCCAGAACCTTTCAATCTATAAAATCTGAACACTGAAATATTGTAAAGCAAGGCAAACCAACATTTTAATGGCAGCCTTAATTCAGTCTTTGTTCCAGCAGTCATTCTATGTGCACCTTATGTGCAGTAAAAAAAAAATATAAAAAAAATCACGTGTTTCCAAGTATGGCAATTGAGTACTCATGATTTCACCTTAACTAGCTAGAAATCTGAAAAAAAGTGATGGTCTTCTTTGAAGGATGTTGAAGACAGTTCAAGGCGGAAAACAATCTTGATTATAGATTCTTTTTTTTTCCCCCTTTTTTTTTTTTTTTTTTTTTTTTTTTTTTCCCGTACGTATGCCAAAATTCTGCCAGGAAACATGGAAACAAACATAGTACATAAAATTTTAGGATGCAGTCTAATATGTCACACTGGCCTTTCAGGGTATTTCAAGAAATGTGAGCAAGGCATCTGTTGAGGACAAACCCTTCAGCACACTCCAACCGCCACCCCAGCTGGACAACAGCTGGTGGGAAAGGAGAGGACGATGTTGAGGTATACTTGTCTGTGTTCCCACAAGGAAATACTGAAACAGCCTTTGCATCGCAATTTTTCTCTGTGCCCCTTTCTGAGTTACTGAGTTACTAGAAGGGGTTATCCCCAGAGCCAAATCCAGACTTGAGCTCTCGTTCAGCTCACTAGAAGTGCTGACTAACAAGACAATGTAATTTCAGCTGTTTTAAACATGCTACACTATCTAAGTCTGTGCTCCATTAATGCCTATGGTTGCCATACCTTATGGCATGCTGTTGGTGTGAAGACACTGCAATCAGAAACACAATCACAAACGGCAGTCTCAGGTTTGGTATTATTTTCATACATTTAACTATAAATAAATGTTTTCCACTGTCTGTACTGCAAAGTCTCATTATTTAACCTCCTGTGCCATCATCCATATGATGGATGGTGGGTATATTTTTTCTTAATATTTTTTATTCTAAAATCCTTATCACTGGAAAAGAGAGTAGAAGAACATTGCTTTCCAAGAAACATGTGTAACTGCAGTACTGGTAGAAGAATCTTGTTTTGACTTGCAAAATGAGCACATATGATAAGGAAGTCACTGAGGGAGAATAAATATGAAACACTGAGATATCATTTTTATAGCATCACTTGTCTGATTATAACAGCCACTTTTTTTTTGTTTGTTTGTTTTGTTTTGTTTTTAAGTAACATTAGTGGTAATTTTATTTATTGTTCACATCTACTTTGAGTAAAGCTGAGACATGGGAATGCAGTATATAGTACCAAAAACATTCCTGAACAAGCTGAAAGAAATGTATTTACATTTGGCTACACTGGACAAATGTAAGGAATAACACAGAGCTTATACTTCTGCGTACATGTGGTCTGTATTTTTTTCATTAACTGGGACCACTTTATATTTTCACATATAATTGGCTTCCATACTATAAATGTACTACAGATGGAAAAATGTTAAAACACTGCATTAAAACAGCTTGAATTATTGTAAAAATAGATTTGGAAAGCTGACTTTGATATCTGTTGCAGCCTAGGGACTTGAGGGGATGCAGCAATAAAAAACTGTGCTGGGGACAGTGTAAAAATCCAAACAACTTTGCCCCTGGCCTCTTCCTGGTTTGGAAGTTTTAGTGGTTAAATTAGCTCAGTGTGGTAAGGTCCCTTCCAAAGGGAAATGCAAAACCAGACTCCTTGATTTTTGGAATAGCTGCAAGTTTTCCTTAAAATATATTCTAGGAGAAATGATAGCAGCTTCCTGAACACCCACTCCTTCTGTTATTTACTTTCCTTACTGACTCTTTCTAGTTTCTTCTCCCCAAAAATCTACTACAATAGATCAGATGAACCTATATTTCTAATTTTATAAAACTATTAATAGTTAAAATCCTTACAAATTATGTTCTAAAATAAGTATTATTAATGAAAGCAATGCATTGCATGATATTGCCCATGCTTTGAATGATGATACCTATGGTTCTCTTCCAACCTAAATTATTTTATTACTCTGTAAAAAATGTGTGGTCATAATGACAAAGGATAAAAAAGGATATTATTTTAACATTTTTTTTCTACATCCAGGCAAGAAGCTTAGAAGCCTATGAGAGAAGCCTTGACGGAGAAAAACTTGGGGGTGTTGGTTGACGGGAAGCTCAACATGAGCCAGCGATGTGCTTGTGCCAACCATATCCTGAGATGCATAAAAAGAAGCATGGCCAGCAGGTCAAGGAAGGTGATTCTCTCCCTCTGTTCCACTTTTGTGAGACCCAAGCTAGTGCTCAGTTCTGGGGTCCCCAAAATAAGGAGGACATGGGCCTATTGGAGTGAGTCAAAGGAGGGCCACAAGGATGAACAGAGGGCTGAAGCATCTCTCCTACAAGGGAGTTGGGGTTGTTCAACCTGGAGAAGAGAAGACTCCAGGGAGACCTTATACTAATATGTAGTATTAGTGCCCTATAGACTATAAGGTACCTACAGGGAAGCTGGAGACAGTTTTTACAAGGGTATGTACTAATTGGACAAGGAGTTTAAACTCTTTAAAAACCAAAATCAACAACAACAAAACTCTTTAAACTGAAAGATAATAGATTTAGATTACATATTAGGAAGAAATTCTTTATTAGAGAGTGGTGAAGCACTGGAACAGGTTGCCCAATGAAGCTGTGCATGTCCCACCCCTGGAAGTGTTCAAGGAAAGGTTGTATGAGGCTTTGACCAACCTGACCAAGTGGGAGGTGTCCCTGCCCATGGCACAGGGTTGGAACTAGATGATCTTTCATTTTTTTTTTTTTTCCAACCCAGAACATTCTATGATTCTAAGAAGCCCTGGAAGTTGTGGCCATAGACCAATGTTGCAGCTTTGTCCCCATGGATGTGAGTCTGAAGTGTGGAAGACCAGGATCTAAAACAGAGCTGGGAATTTCTGCAGCATAGCTGGCTTGTATTCCCTCATCAAGTTAGTAACTATTCAATTAGAGCTGAGTACCTCAAATATATTCCATAAAAAATATCAGGACATACCTGAGTTAACTTCTGTGCTTCTATCTTCATAGAAGTTAGTGACATGAAAATGGAAGCACAAATCAGGCTAGCAGTGGGGATTATATCCCACATATTTGACTTAGAAAACACTCTGAATAGAATTATGGAACTGGATCTGTACAAGAGCACTTTGTATTTTTTCTTCTATGGATGCAGTACTAGCAATTGTATAAAAGAACAAGGAATACACTAGATTTTGAAACACAGAAAAGCAGCAAAAGCATTGCTTATTGCTTCTCAGTTGTTAGCTTTATTTTGATTAAAGAAATGTAAAATAAACCTGTGGTGGTTAAATTATTAGCCAAAAAAGCATAGAACTTAAAATAATGTTCTCATTTGTTGATAATTTTTTGTTGGTGAACAAAGAGATGAGGACGAGATAGAGGAGAGAGAGAAAAGAAAGGAAGCACCAGGTCTTCATAAACATTTCATAATTTCTGATTATTTAAACTTAAATAAAGAAAATGGAAAAGAATGACAATGTTAGTTGACAATAAATTGCCTTTAACTTTTACTAAAAATAATAGTTTTATTTTCATTCAAAATAGTGAATATTTTTAACTGAATGAATAGTTTGTGAATAATACAAGTTTCCCAGAAAGCTTGGAAGATTTTTAATTTTTTTCTAGACAAGTCTTTTGATAAAGATATTTTAATATGCTTTATCTCATATGCTTCAACTACTTAAATGTTAATACTCTGTTGACCATACTGTGTGCCATATAGTACACAAAGTAACACAAGCAAGCTGTACTCCTGAATGTGATGCATTGTACTGATCATCCCCTGCCATTAACAGGGTTTGTACATGCATACTTAAGAATGCATCATTAACATTTCTTAGTATATGTGGACTCTATATATGTTTTCCAAGGCAGCATCTTTGGAAAGATTTGCTGAAAAGATATGAGGAACTAGTGGATAAAAGACAAATCATAGGTAAAAACATTTGAATATAACACAAGGAGACAAAACCTTTTGCAATATGAAAAACAGCAAATGAAATGTAGAAAGTCTAGAACAATAATTTAAAATACCACAGGGGCAATGGACATGCTTTATTTGTGTCTAAGCTTCACATTGCTAAGATATATGTTTAGATCTTATGGGGCTCTCATGCCTCTTAGTCCTATGTGGATACTGAGATATCTCATAGACATGTATAGACGTAATGGTTAACAGAGCAACAGAGCTTGGGGAGAAAGAAAGTGCAGAATTGAATGCAACCACTTTTTGGATCTTGGGAATAGTATAGCTTTAGTGATCAGGGAATAAAAAAAAAAAAAAACCTTCAAAAATTGTATAGTACTGGTACAACTCTCTTTTTAATTCTGTGCTTTCTTTCCAATAAGTCTCCTCCTCTGTTAAGAGGTTTCTTTTCTAAGTATCAGTGTTTGACTTCTCCTACATGTATGAATAATCCAACAATTGCTAAGGCGGTACACATAAAGAAAAAGTTTTTTTGAACATCTCCTACTTGTTTCTCAGGTATTCACCCTATCTGATCATCCCTACCTAATGTACTTTCCCCTCCCATTTATTCATCACCAATTTGTTAAGTGTTTTGTGATGGATATACCAAGGAGAAATAATTCCTTAATCAACATGTCTTACACTTGATCATTTTACTCTGTTTTGAAATAGAAATATATTTTGGAATCCATGTATCCATTTTACAAATACACAGCTGATATTAGCTAATAATTACTGGTTCTTTTATAAAAAATAAGAAGGTGATCCAAACATGATGAGTTATTCCCTTTCCAAAGCAATTCCATTTCCAGAATTTGTATTGACTGAGATTTATGTGATTTAGAATTCAGTTATTTAAAATTTCAATTCAAAAAATAAAAATAAAAAAATATTAGAAGCAGGGGAGTAACTCAGAAACACTAATTTGTTTTAGACCATTTTGTTTCAGTGTCCATTGCACAAGAACATTCACAAAAATGATTTTGCATAAGTTCACAAAAATACAGAAGTGTTTAGGGAGTTAAAGTTAAACTTGGTTGTTGTGAATGAAAATAAAGAAATTCTTGCATAACCATCCAAAAAAAATGGCTGACTCATCTGGAAAGTCACAAAGAGACAACAGGCTAATTGCTGGATTTCAACAAACTTGTAATAAAAAGCTTTAAAAATGTTTAGGAAATTGGTCCAAACCACAAATATATTAATTACTAAAATCACTAATTTTAACCAATTTCATGACTATCAAAAGATATCAATTTCTTTGTGCCAGTCTGTTTGTTTGTTTGTTTATTTGTTTGTTTGTTTTCTGCACTCATAAATGTTTAGCCTCATACAAACTGTGGGGACTTTGGGTTTAAGCAAATAGTGTTTAATTACTTTTATGCCACTCTTCAAGTTAATAGAGACCCTTGCAACCAGCTGAGATGGTGGAGGAAGTTAACATACCTTATACACTGCCAGTTAGCTGTTACAGTCCTCCTGCCAGAGAATAGCACCTCTCTTGCACAGCTGGAGAAGGGAATATTCATCTGCACCTCTGTTGTTCCAGTTTAGCTAACATATGTATGTTGAAGACTTCTACTGTTTTAACTCTATTGAGACTTGTGATTTAGTTTTGTTTAGTTTTGTTTGGTTTTGTTTTTTCTTTCTCTGTCCCCTGAGGACTCATAGGCTGACAGCTCCAGATGCAGTTAGTAAAGGTGGAGAATCTGGCCCATTAATGGTCTATGCTGTAGTAACGAGGGTGTTTCCAGTACTGGGAATAGAAGGAGGTGAAATGCTTAAAGAGGTATTCAGTTTTTGCATTTAATAAAACTGTCCTGACAACCAACTCTAAGTTCTCATTTAAGACATATTTTCCATCTTCCACACACCAGTTATTTATTCCATATCTTTTTCCTGTAATGATATAAGTATTTTGCGAAAAAGCTTGTCCATATGTTCTTTTAAAAAATGTTTTATTCTTCTTCTTGTTAAATCCAAAGTATTTTTATCTTGCTTGGCCGGGATTTTAATTAGCGCTCTGACATAAACCTTCCTGGTTCTATCTGTTTGTTTATGTTCCAAGGAGCCTCTATTACTGTAAAAAAAAAAAGCTATAATTTGTTTATGTCTTACACAGTTTCCCATCTTATAAAAATGAGGCGTTTAACTTCTATCACATTGATTTAGGCCTAATTATATCCACCTTGACTGGTAATTGCTCTTTTCCCTTTTGTTTCATACCCTGTTCCAAGCTTTCAAGGCGTAACCAGTTTTCCAGGAAGCAAAATAGGGGCTTATGAGAAAGTGTCATTTTCTCCTAGAGGGTTAATCTCTCTACAGACCATATTTTCTCAGGAGTAACATCATGGAATTCAATGAAATTGCAGCAGTGCCTCATTTGGACCCAAAAGTCAATTAAACCACTCTTACATAGATCTCCTTCTGCTTTCCTTCCTCATACACCTCTTATTGCTGAAAGCACACTAGTAACCTGATTCCAATTACCCTTGTTGTACCTACTTCTTGATGTAGTTAGTTCAATAACTAAATAGCAAGACAAAGGGAGGATTTGAAAGGAACAATACTATTTGTCCTGTGGTCACCATAGTACTGGAGATGCTGGCTGTGATTTTCAGGATGAACATGGACAGAACATTTCCTTCTTCTTAAATCCTGTTTGACAAGGGCAATGGGAGGAAGTGACAAAAATCAGTGAAGGTCTGTGTGGAGAGATGCAGTTGTAGTTGATGAAATCATGCAGCTGCACAGAAATGCGAAGATCCTCAGAACTATATACATTTGCTTTTAAAATATCATCTTGTTTTTGTGGCCTAGGTTAAGTTAGGCACAAGGCAATATAAAATTAAAGGGTTAATTTCTTTAAAATAAACAAACAAAAAAACCCACCCACATCAAATCAAATGAAAGTAGACCCTAAGTAATCCATGCTTCTATATTTTACAGCAATAAAACAGATTTCAGAGCTCATAAAAACAAACAACCCATGTTACTGAGAAAAAGATTGATGGATAGGAAGAGATTTCAGCAAAAATGCTTCCATTGCAAACATTACCCTAAATTCTTTTCCCACAGCAAAGCAATTAAATTTGGAAACAAGTAACCTGTTGTATGCTCTGTTTTTTACAAAACCGTTCACTGGTATTCAACCAGTCTCCCCACATTGTGTTTGACCCACTAAAATCCCTTATTAAGTATATAAAATCCATCTCCCTTTGTTCTTTTAATACTGCTGCAGCCACTCAGAAGTCATTCCTGTATGATAATGGGGTTAATTCTTTAGTGTAAGCACTAGATGAGAGTTTGACTCTGATAACCACCCTGAAGGCAAGTAACATTAGGCCTGTTTTCAGAGGTCTTCAAACACTTGCTTAGAATTGCCTGTGGACCTTGTGCAAAACAGATCTTCGAAGCACGGTTCTTGTCTGAGGATGAAAGTGGACAATGTTATACATAATTAAAGAGAAGGTCAAAATTATTTAAATATTTGTTTTTAATGGGAAAATATTACTTGGATATATATTTTTATTCTCTACAAAGAAACCCTTAGATCATGTGCTGAAGGTGATACTTTCAAAATTTACACAAGATTGGGACAAGATTCGAACTACAGTGAAAATTACTAGTTATAATTGGCTTATGTAACATCATTCTTACCTGAAAATAATAACAACATTGCAAGAAATAGATCCATTTGAAATTCCACTGGTATTTTGTCTGCTAAGTACTGGTTTTATCTGAATGCTGTCACCTCAGCAACATCTGATATATAAGCTTCTTCCTTTGCACTTTGCAGCTGAGAGAATTCTTAGGTACTTCAAACTCTACAGACTTGCTTTTATTCACTTAAAACTGGAACATACAAACAACAGGAAAGTGAAGCGACATTTCTTCAACTGTACTTTTTTTTTTTTTTTTTTTTTTTTTTTTTTCTGGCTGTAAACTTGCTGTCACCTGGAGGAGCTGAGTTTTGAATACATGTTCATATTAAAGGAAGAGAAAAGTGATGGTGGTTTTGCATTAATTAGGAAGGCCATTGTAATGCAGCAATAAATCCCAATAATATGTCTGGGGTGGACGAGTATTATGACTTATGATGAAGAAGTAAATTGGAAGGAAATGTTCCTGTGGGAGATTCAGACCTGTTGTTTTTTTTTTTTTTCACCTAAGTTCTGTATTTGAACTTGCTTGGACATGTTTTTGGCATGGATTATTAGGCATGATATGGAACTGGGAGAGAAAAAAAAAAGATATTTATGTCTTTTCCTCTTTGTCTTTAAAATAAAAGGTCTAGATAACTGATGTAGACACCAGTGTAGTCATATAGCATTGATAGACAATGGCAGGTGCTGGAAGTGACATCACCAGCTTGTGATTTTGGCTCCACTTCAGTTATTTAACATCTGAATAAGTGTTATTGTGGCACAAACCAAAGGGACTAAAAGCGACCTAAGATGGGACTAAGTGGCTGCTATAAAAAATTGTAAAGCAGAACTTGACTCTCGGTTGCTTGATGGCCTGTGCCACATCACATCAGGCACTGACACAAATAGAATCACAGAATCACAGAATTTCTAGGTTGGAAGAGACCTCAAGAGCATCGAGTCCAACCTCTGACCTAACACTAAGAAGTCCTCCACTAAACCATATCACTAAGCTCTACATCTATACATATTTTAAAGACCTCCAGGGATGGTGACTCAACCACTTCCCTGGGCAGCCCGTTCCAATGCCTAACAACCCTTTCGGTAAAGAAGTTCTTCCTAACATCTAACCTAAAACTCCCCTGGCGCAACTTTAGCCCATTCCCCCTCGTCCTGTCACCAGGCACGTGGGAGAACAGGCCAACCCCCACCTCACTACAGCCTCCTTTAAGGCACTTGTAAAGAGCGATAAGGTCACCCCTGAGCCTTCTCTTCTCCAGGCTGAACAAGCCCAGCTCCCTCAGCCGCTCCTTGCAAGACTTGTTCTCCAGACCCCTCACCAGCTTCATTGCCCTTCTCTGGACTTGCTCAAGCACCTTGATGTCCTTCTAGTAGCGAGGGGCCCAAAACTGAACACAGTACTCGAGGTGCGGCCTCACCAGAGCTGAGTACAGGGGGACAATCACTTCCCTAGCCCTGCTGGCCACACTGCTTCTGATACAAGCCAGGATGGTGTTGGCCTTCTTGGCCACCTGAGCACACTGCTGGCTCATATTCAGCCGACTGTCCACCATCACTCCCAGGTCCTTCTCTGCCAGGCAGCTTTCCAACCAAATAGAAGTGTTAGTCTGATAAACTGCTGTGTTACAATGTGGTTGATCAAAAGTTA